ATATATTTAATTCCTTTTAGTTGCAGTCCTCTAAAACAACTGTATAACACCTGCTTTCTTTTTCAACCGCAGAATCCTAAACTAAATGTAGTTCAGTAGTAAAGATTTAGTCAAGCCAAGTATAGACAGATTTCATACTGGATTTTGCTTACTTCTGTCACTAGTTTCAATCATTATATTCTTAAATCATGTAGGTTGTACATTCTTTCCACTTAAGTAATTTTCTTTGTCTTTTGTCTTTTTAATGTTAATATGTTAAATTAACATATATATAAATTATATATAAATATATATATATAAATTATAAATATATATATAAATATATATATATAAATTATAAATATATATATAAATATATATATATATTTATATTTATATATATATATTTTATATATAAACATATATATAAATTAACATAACTCTAATTAATGCCTGACACATAGTGAACATTACATCATGTTAGCTATTACTCATGTCATCATCATCTTCATCATAATTTTACTTCTATTCATTTGCGTTTGTGTCACAGTGTTTGTATAACTTTACACTTTCCTTTAATAAGTCTCTTGTATTTAATGAATCAACTTGAAATGTTATCTTGAATATAATACCTCTTTTCAGTAATAGATCCAGAGAACTAAAAAGAAACTTCAGCTTTTACAGATATGGAAACAAACTCAGAGAAGTTTAGTAACTTTTTCAAAGTCACAGAGCTTGTTGGTAGTGTCAAAAAGTTTCAAGTTTAAAGAAAAAGAACAAAATATTAATTGTTTTGGAGAGCAGCAAAATTGCCCCAACGTTTCTAAAATATTACCATAACTATTTACTCTAAAGACTAGCCTTAGAGAAAAAAACATAGGGAAAATTAAGACTTGGTTAGATGGAAAAACTTAAATGGTGTTTGCAGGCACATAATGATTTTTCCTCCCTCTCTATAAATGATATTACTTTGGTAGAGAGAGAAATGAAATGTGCTGACGTTATTTGTTCTTTGTGAAATCATGTTGCTCATTATTCAGCATTTTGTGTCCCTTTAGGTATATTCAAGTTGATAGTATAATGACTTTTTCCACTATCATCCTAGGTACTGAAGTTATGCTAACAGGTCTACAATTTTCCAAGATCATCCATTTAGTAAAATTGGGCACTGAGGTCTATCTCAGATTTCTGGCAGTTTTGTTCTGAGCAACTTTCTCAAAATAGCAGCAAAGAGATTTGCAATGACATGCACCATTGCCTTTAGAATCCTTAGTCACCAATCATTAGGGCCTGCTGATTTAAATGCTATTCAGAGTTTTCAAGTTATCTCCAAGAGTTTCTATCCTCAACTTACTTTGTATCAGTGCTTTTTACATCATATGTAGTTATCTAATGACATGAGACATAGAAGAAAGAAAAAGAATAAGCCTAAATCCATTCCTAGTCAGTTGACCAGCAGTTAAGTTTTCGCAACCCAGTATAATTTCACGTTTTGTCTTTTCTTGTCTGCTCTTATAAAAATTCTTCATTCCTATAAGGGTTTTTATTTATTTATTTATTTTTTATTAACTATTGTGATTCCTGCTTCAAATCCCAAAGAGCAAAGGATGGATATTCTCTTAAGTCAGTGGCTTTCAGACAGAATATTGGTTCTGTCTCTGTTCTTCCGGGTGGCATAAATTACTACATGACTCATCTCATGGGAAGAAGGCAGATTTGGACAACAAAATATTGGTTAAAAAAAACAGAGAAAAACAAAAATGCTGCTTTCCAGGTAAGCAGCAAATCACTTTAGCTACAAAGACACAAAATGTTTCCTTATCAGTTGGGGAACTTTCCTGATGTTATATTAACAATATGTGAGCTTTCCTATTGTTCTTTGAATCCAATTATATCCTGAAAGATCCATTTTGATTACATTTTTTCCAGTTTTCAAAATGTTTTCATCATGCTCATAAAGGAAATAAAAGTATTTTCCATTTTATAATCAGATCAGACTATGAAAATTCAAGGCATCTAAACAACACTTATTATCCTCCTCAAAAGAAAAGAAAATTTCAATTGTACTTCCAACCAGAGAATATTTAGATGACATAATTAAATGTTGCAAAGTTAGTGGTGAAATTGACAGTGAGGAATAAAATGTCTTTTAAGAATTGCTAGCAAAATGGTTCAGTAAATACCACATCATAAGCTGGTACATAACCCTATAGTATTACTTAAGATTCATTTCTAACTATTCAAAAATCTTGACAATAGCAAGATAATTTAAAATGAAAAAAAAACTACCTGAAGATTAACAAAAACTGCCAAATAGAAATATTTGGACTAAATATTTGCAGAATAATCAATGTTATGGTAATAAAGTTTCTGTTAAAAGTGGCATACTGACTTAAATCAGGAAAAATTAACAAAAAAAAACCAAGTCCTATCTTAATATCCCAACATCTGGACCATTAAGTTGATAGATGGCTGCAGAGGAAAACTGTCTGCAAATTTAGGTTGACAAACAGAGCAAAATCTACCTTGGCATCACCAGTAGAATGAAGAAGTGACATAGCAATTTGAGATGATATGGTTTTGCCTTTTAAAATGGTGAATGATGGTCCACATTTTAGACTTTAACTTTATGACCATAAAGCCCGTTTTAATTATTTTTGGTTATTTTGATCATGGGAATTTGCATGAATGACCCAGATGTAAAAGTAGCTCTTACTTGTCTTTATGTATAAAACACAATCCTCCTTTTCTTCTACCATTTGAAATAAAATTTAATTTTCTTAATATTTATCTGAGTATGAGCTTTTAAAAGATAAATAAATAGTATGTCAATCAATTTTATTTTTAGTATAACTAGCTTCAAGCTTCAACACGTTTGAATATTTCATTCTACAACTAAAATATGCTATTACATATTACATAAAGAGTAATAGGGAAAATTAATATTTATAAATTAAAGAGGAATAGAGAAAATATTAATTTCAAAATAGTAATTTTTCCTATTACTCATTATTTCTTTTTTTTTCAATTGTATTTGGGTTCTGGGGTACATGTGTATGTCCTGCATCCTGCAGGATTCTTGCATAGGTACACACATGCCATGGTGGTTTGCTGCCTCCATTCCCCTCGACTGTTGCCTACATCAGGCATTTCTTACTTTGAGAGGCCGAAGTGGGTGGATCACGAGGTCAAGAGATCAAGACCTTCCTGGCCAACATGGTGAAACCCCATCTCTACTAAAAATACAAAAATTAGCCGGGCATGGTGGCATGCGCCTCTGGTCCCAGCTACTTGGGAGGCTGAGGTGGAAGAATCCCTTGAATCCAGGAGGCGGAGGTTGCAGAGAGCCGAGATTGCACCACTGCACTCCAGCCTGGCAACAGAGCAAGACTCCGTCTCAAAAAAAAAAAAAAAGAAAAAAGAAAAAAAGAATGGGTCTGCCTTTCCCAGCCCACTGACTCAAATGTTAATCTCCTTTGGCAACACCCTCAGAGACACACTAAGGATCACTCCTTTGTATCCTTCAATCCAATCAAGTTGAATCTCAGTATTAACCATCACAGTCTCACACCCAAGAGATGATTTTTTCCTACTAAGCCAAAGGTGTTACAAATTTTAGTTTGGAGGACAGTGAAAACAATAAAACTAATATCTATTTGATAACTTGGTTTCTTTGATATAAGAATTTCAACAATTGTTTTATAGGTAGCTTATGTGATTATTTCATATTCTGTGTCCATATATAAGTGTTATGAATATGCTGGACCTATATATCTTGAAATAGGATAATTTTAAAGTTTTTCTTGATAATTGGTTCTAAAATTTTGATCGCCTTGTAAAAATATATGTATATAGAACTATCAGTCAGTACAGATATATGTCATTATAGACCTACAAATATATTTGTAATTATATGATTACACCCACGTCATACCTTTATAAATAACTTAATTTCAAAGTGATGTATTGTATAAAGCAACAACTCACATACACTCTCAATTCAATCTCCAGAGTAAGTACCAAAACATTTTCTTTAGAAAATAATAGAAAGTATAAAACACATACAAAAATACGAAGGTTGTTAAGAATGGTATTTTAGTTAACATATAAGAACATCTGGATGACCTTGGTTTGGCAGTGGCTTTTAGATACAACACCAAAAGCATGACACACAAGTGAAACAATTGGAAATTTTGGCTTTATTAAAATTAAAACTTGTTCTCTGCTATAGAATCTATGAAGGAAATGAAAATGCAAGTGACAGCCGGAGGGAAAATCTTTGCAGAACACATATCTGATAAAGGACTGTTATGCAAAATATATAAAGACCTCTTAAAACACAACTATAAGAAAGCAGACCAGGCATGGTGGCTCATGCCTATAATCCCAGCACTTTGGGAGGCTGAGGTGGGAGGGTCACTTGAGGCCAGGAGTTCAGGACGTGTCTCTACCTAAAAAGGAGAAAAAAATTAACTTAGCATGGTGACACGAGCCTGTAGTCCCAGCTACTTTAGGGGCCGAGATGGGAAGATCCCTTGAGTCTCAGAGGTTGAGGCTACATTGAACTGAGTGAGTGACAAAATAAGACCCTGTCTAAAAAAAAAAAAAAAAAAAAAAAAAGCTAACAACTCAAAAATTGGGGTGAGGAAGTCTGTGTGCAGAAAGGCCTGGCAGCTCTTCCCAAACTCCTTGGTTAAAGGAAAGCAAAAACAACAGCACTTTATAATCAAAATCCTACTCATAACTAAAAGTGGGCTAAACTTGGAATTTATCTATCTCCTCTCATTTTATAAGTACAATTTCTTTGGGTAATATTATGGTCCATCAGCCAAATACCTAAAGGTAAAAACAAATGTCACCAAGTAAAAAGTATGAATAAAAGTAAGTTCAACACGATGACTTCAAGAGGGCTGCAGCGGCAAGGGAAACAGCTGCGGCAGCAGCAGTGGTGAAGTTGGCCAAGGTGGTGGTGGCAGCAGCAGCAAGGGGCATTACCAGCGGCGGGCTCCAGGCCTGGCCCATCAGTAGAAGCAGACTGTGTGCAGGTGGCTGTGGCCGGTCTTCTCCTCGAATGCCTGCAGCAGGTGATCAATCTCATTCTCGATATCCTTTGACTGCTGGATACACTGGCAGAGCTCGCAGATGTGGAATGCCCCTAGGATGGCGTCTTCCTGGCTATCAGGGATGTCCACATTCACCACATGCACTGGCTGGCAGGTCTCCTGTTCTCTGGAAGTTAGACATTCCACCACCTGGTCATAAATTTTCTCTTCACAAGTGATGATCAGATCAAACACATCTTTGCAATTCTGGAATCTTTCTGGCCGGAGCTTGATTCTCTTATTTCTGTCTAACATATGCAGAATACCATTCTGTGTATAGAATTCTTTGTCTTTCATGAGAAGATCTTTGTACATCTCATCATATGTGGTTTCGAAATCATAAATATTCGGCTTGCTAGGTATTGGTCCTGGAAGCTTCACATGAGTTGCTGTTCCAAAGGACTGGACATTGAATCCTCGTTTGTTGAGGATGTTGTGTGCCTCCATGCTACGGTTCTGGTTACTCGAACACACCACTGCCACCCGCAGCGGTAACGATGACATAGCTGCAACCGCACAACCCAGGACACTCACGCTTAAGTTTCTACCGGCCACAGCGCCTCAGTGCCAGCGAAATGGCGACCAAAGATGGCGACCGTGTCGCAGGCAACGTGGTACGTGGCGTGACGTCTGCGTGGCAACTCCTCGCACGCCCCGAGTGCCTGGCCGCATGTAAATGGGCATGCAGGCCAGGGCAACACATTCGGTTACGGTTGGTGGCTGGCGCCTGTGTAGCCAAGCCCACTCTCCACAAGGTGCAGCCGAGCCATATTTATTTATTTATTTTCCTTTCTCTCCGTCCGGGACGGTGGCTCACGCCTATAATGCCAGCACTTCGGGAGGCCGAAGCGGACAGATTACCTGAGGTCGGGAGTGTGAAATCCCGTGTCTACTAAAAATACAAAATTAGCCGGGCACGGTGGTGCATGCCTATAATCCCAGCTGCTCGAGAGACTGAGGCAGGAGAATCGCTTGAACCCAGAAGTTGGAGGTTGCGGTGAGTCGATAAACATCACAAAATGGTTTTATCTATAACCATCCCCAAAAAGTCAGTCTGTCCACCTGCATGATCTCCTAGAGCACTTCGTCCACATCTACGTATGGGGTGGGGAGACAAAAGCGGCATGTCTGGAGTAGCTGGCTGACAAGCTGCTGTCCAAGCCAGTTCATCTCCTGTCCAATCAGTTATTTTCATAATTCAGTCTTCGTGATCATTGGCTACTCTTGCAACGATTAGCTCTTATAGGAGCCTCATGAGGTTACTATTGGCATCCCAGTAGTCCAGGCTATTAGAGACAGTGGCCAACTATAAGATAGGGATGACTACTTGGCTCCTCAGCAAGGTTGTGGGCCTATACTGAGTTTACCTGGTGGATAGCCTGAACAGGTCATCTGCAGTGTCAGAGTGATTCTGGAGACCATTTTGCTGTTGTAGGAGCTGAAAGGTGGGGATGCATAGTGCCTGGAGCATGTCTAGTGGTCCCTTCTGACAGGCTTCTTCCATGCCATACTCATCCATGAGGATAATGCCAAGGTATAGGAAACAGGAATGATGATGTATGTGGCACACATTCACACAAATTCACCATCTGTGTGAATGTATGCCACGTACATCATTCTAGTGGTTGCAGCAGCAAGGCAGATCCTTTGCCTACAGAGTAAACAGCAAAGTGCAGGCACCTGCAACAATACTTTGCAATCTGATTTTGAGCCCTGTGCTTATTTAGAGTCTTGCATAAGACAGGCCATACTTCCTGTATGACTTTTCGGCACCGTTGAGTCTGTTTTCCACAATAGAATTGGTATGTCTAAATATCACTGCAAGTCGATCTAAGAGGACAGTGTCAATGATTAGAGAAATCCTTAAAGTGTTTGCCAATAGATACAACCGTGGGAGCCCGTCACCATGACACACAACTTATACACTTCCACAAGCAAACCACTAGTGCCAAGGAATGTACCCAAGTTTGCTGGGCTGCAGCAGGTTGTTTCCATAGCCCACAATTCTGCACTGTGTCTGTCACCCAGGTTTGTCATTTCTAATTGAAAGACTGGAAGAAAACAAAAACCAAACTGTGCCCCACAATCAGAAACCTCTGTCGTGGCAGAGGGGCCTTCACCACCACCAGGGTGAGACTCCACCCTTCTGAAGGCCACCCTGAGTTGTTCCTGTTTGGGGGTGTGAGGAAAATTCAGGGAAGTTTAAAAAAAAGATGGCTGTGACCTGCCCAACGTGGTGGGAGGGGAGGTGGTTTCCTGGAAAACTTATTTCTAAAAGGAAAAATAATTTTAAGAAGATAAAAAAGGAAAACTCAACTGAAAAAACACCTTGTAAAATCAAATTCCAAATTAATGCCCAAACTTTCTCTTCTGCTTTTGAAAACTCCAATTGTTAGAATTTTTCCTTCAAATTACCAACTATCAAACTATATATCATTTGTGTTTGCTCATGGCTCTCTTCATCTTCAAAGTTAGGTTGTTTGGAAATAAATCTTAGATGCAGAGCTGTAACTTAGGCCGAGTTATCAAAAAGTTGCTTAAGTCTGTAATCTCAGCGCTTTGGGAGGCCAGGGCTGACGGATCGCCTGAGCATAGTGTTGCTAGACCAGTCTGGGCAACATGGTGAAACACTGTCTCTACTAAAAATACAAAAAACTAGCCAGGTGTGGGGTGTGGTGTCGGGCACCTATGGTCCCAGCTACTTGGAAAGCTGAGGTGGCAGGATCACTTGAACTTGGGAGGTCGAGGCTGCAGGGAGCCATGATTGCACCAACGCACTCCAACATGGACAACAGAGTGAGACCTTGTTTCAAAACAAAAACAAAATATGTCGCTTAAGGCCATTAAAGTACAGAGCGCTAAAAATGGTTTTTAAAAATATGTATAATCACACGAGAGAATGAAATTGGACACTTACCCTATACCATATAAAAATTAATTCAAAATGGATCACTGACATAAACATAGGAGTTAAAACTATAAAATTCTTAAAGAAGACATAGATGAAGAGCTTCCTGACATTGTATTTGACAATGATTTCTTGGACCGGCAGCAGAAGGAAAAAATAGAGAAATTGAATTATATCAAATTAAAAACTTTTGTGCATGAACGACACTATCAAAAGAGCAAAACGTCAACCCACACACTTGGGGAGAGTATTCACAAATCATATATCTGAGAAGAGATTAATATCCAGAATGAATATTAAGAACTCCTATACCTCAAAAACAGAAACAATAACAACCGGATTTAAAAATGGGCAAGGGACTTGAATAGTCATTTCTCCAAAGCAAATATACAAATAGTAAATAAATACGTGAAAAGATTTTCAACACCATTAATCACTAAGCAAATGCAAATCAAAACCATAATGAGATACCACTTCACACCCACTAGCATGGCTCTTTTATGTAGAGATATATTTTATATATAAAATTTTTATACATATATATATGTATACATATATATATATATATAGTCCATCCTAGTGTGTGTGTGAAGTGGTATCCCATTATGGCTTCGATATGTATGTATATGTGTGTACATTAAAAAATATAAAACATATATATAACATATATATGTTTTTAAAAACAGAAAATAAGTGAAGACTGCAAGGATGTGGAGAAATTTAAACTCTTGTGCAGTGCTCTTGGAAATGTAAAATGATGCAGCCACTATGGAAAATGGTGTGACCATTCCTCAAAAAATTAAAAATAGAAATAATATATGATCCAGCAATTCCACTTCTGGGTATATACCCAAAACAATTGAAAGCAAGGACTCAAACAGATATTTGTACAGCCGTGTACAAATCTTTCTTCACAACAGCCAAGAGGTAGAAGACACATGTCCATTAGCGAATGAATGTATAAACAAAATGTGGTGTTTACATACAGAGGAGTATTATTCAGCTATAAAAACAAAGGAAATTCCGATACATGTTACAACATGGATGAACATTGAAGACATTATGCTAAGTGAGATAAGACAATCACAAAAGACAAACATTGTATGAATCCACATATTTGATGAACCTAAAGTAGTTAAATTCATAGAGACAGAAGTAGAATGGTGTTTGTGAGGAAGGAGGTGTTATTATTTAATGAGCGCAGAGTTTCGATTTTGTAAGATGAAAAGATTCTGGAGATGGGTGGAGGTAGTGGATGCACAATTATGCGAATGTACTTCATGTCTCCGAACTGTACACTTAAAACTGGTTAAAATGGGAAATTTTATCTATATTTTACCACAATTTAAAATATAAACTGATTCACACACTGGAACTATGTTCAATCAATATTGGCCCACCAATTGTCACAAATGGACCATATTAGTGCAAAATGTAAATAATAGGGAAAACTGACAAGAAAGTAAGGAGACATAGGGAACTGTGTACTTTCTGCTTTTTTTTTCCTACTGTAAACTTAAAACTGCTTTAGAAATCACCTATTTTTTTTAAAAGTAAATGTACGTACTAAGCTTATTGCCTAAAGAAGCATTACCTTTCCCTCAATCAGGATTCTCTATTTGCACTAGCACAGTGGTGAGCTTGTCCCCAGCCCTAAGCCAGACTTCGTGGCAGCCAGTAATGACGAAAAAGCCAGACACCCTATGTCAAGGGCAGAAAGGCTAATGTTTTAGGGCTTCCTTGATTCCTCTTTTTTCCTCCTCTGCTTCTTTTTTCTCATGGTACCTTTTTCTGTAGAGTTATGATTGAATTTGTTGCTGCCTGCCTCAGATGTCACAGTTGTTTGTTATGGCTCTGATATTTAATTAGGATCTGACCAATTCTGATAACAAAAAATTATTGTGTACCTTTTAAATTATTTTTCTGGAGTATACCCCCTCTCTGGCTTGTATAAAAGGTAGTATATTTTTTTATTTATTTTAAGTATGTCTTTCTATTTCAGCCATCATTTATTGAGAATGTGCCTTGTACCAGATAATTTTCAAAGTTCTAAGAATACAATTAAAAAAGAACAGAAAACCAAACACCACATGTTATCACTCATAAGTGGAAGTTGAACGATGAGAATACATGGACACATGGAGGGGAACATCACACACCAGTGCCTGTTGTGGGGTGAGGGTCTAGGGGAGGGAGAGATAGCATTAGGAGAACTACCTAATGTAGATGATGGGTTGATGGGTGCAGCAAACATGGCACGTTTATACCTATGTAAAAACCTGCATATTCTGCACATGTAACCCAGACCTTAAAGTATAATTTTTAGAAAAAAATTGTTTTTTTACCTCAGTTAATACTACACTCTAGTAAAGGAGACAGACATTAAAAAAATAAGCTCACAAATAAAGATGTAAATATATTCTAGGAGGAAATGAAACAGGTGCAATGACTCACTTTAGATTAGATGGTCAGAAAATCCCTATTTGTGGGAAGTAACTTTCAAGATGAAGCCAGAAAGATGATGGGGAGCCAGGCAGGTGAAGTGTGGGGAGAGAGTATTTAGGCAGAAAGAAGAGTATGAGCAAATTTTCTGAGA